AATGGAGCAGGAGATTGGCCGGAGAATCGGGGCAGCAGGGACAGTATTGTGGTCGAACAGTTGTCACCAAAAGAGAGTTGAGCCGAAAGGCAAAGCTCTCGATCTACCAGTCTATCTTTGTGCCTACCCTCACCTATGGTCATGAGAGATGGTTCATGACCGAAAGAAGAGGTCATCGCCAACCCCACCATACGCTAGGGAAGGTTACATGGGGCTTCACAAGCCCTGCCACCGGAATAGGTTTCACAGTTTACCAATCCTGCAGCAAGCAGAGCTGTCAGTCCTAATCGGAGTCGCTGTCTTTGGCCCACAATGGGAAGTCAAAAGGCCAGAGTCTTCTGGATCCAAGACCTGAAGTTGAAGGAACCGACTCCATGTAGCTCTCCTCTATTCTCCCGCTGGTGAAGAAGCTAAGCCCCGAAATTGATGGAGCTGACTCCTCACTGTTCCACCTCGTCCTCTTCGTAATTACCTGCTCCGTGTCACTCCATTCCCGGCTCCTCTTTGTGGATGAGCGGAGGCCTGAGGTTGTGGGAGCACACTCTTCCCACTTCTGGGAAACTGGGGGAAGACCTCCTCCAGGTGGCTCCACTTGCTGCCAAGGAAGCTCCTGATGCTGAACAATCAGCTGCTGAGGAACAGCAACAGGACGACAAGCAGGAACAGGATGGTACAGTGGTCTCCAGTCCTCTTCATCGTTTTACACGGAGTGGTAGCCAGAGTCTGCGTCCTCCTCTGTTGTTTTGAGCAGAATGAGAAGCATTTTAGGCTGTGTTCATGAGACACTTCATATGTTTACTGTACTTAGTCTCTTGGAAAAAGTTAGCTGTTAATGTGTAGTCTCTGGAAGAACTATGATGTAATTTCTGACTATATAAATGAGAAGTATATTCACATAATGGCTAAAGAGCTTGAGTTATATTACTTATTTTGTATTACTTTATTTTCATATTTATCCCAGTTTAGTTTCTGTTTACATTTATTTCATATAAAATATTAAAAATATTTCAACATTAATTACATTATATTACAATTTTAATAATTGAACCCACAGAACAATACCCCTCCTTAACATATGGGTGATAAATACATAACGAACTAAAACAGAAATAAATGTAATTATAATGTATTAACAATGTATTTCTGTACATATTTATTTATCTTTCACTTAAACTGCACCTTTATTTGATAATTGAGGCTTTTATTATTTAATGTATTCATTAAAGTAATGAATTAATGAATTATAATGGCAGCTTTAGTCCTCCATAATAAATACAATAGCAGACATGGTCAAACCTGTCAGTGGTTCAGTGAATCAACTGATGAGCATGTGCACTGGGTAAGGGAATGATCATCATCACTCATGTGCAACCAACAACAGGGCTTCTTCAGAATAACAGTAACCTCTGTGCAGACCAAACAATAGTAATTCATTAAATAACTCTGTTCTCCCTCAGAATAAAACTGCAGACTGACGAGCACAGAGCTTTTCAGTGTTTTTAAAATACCAACATGTCGAGTACAAGCTGTGAGATGACTGAACACACCATCGTTCACTGTATCTCCCTCTTAACAGCACAGTTTGAACCAAAACAAACAGCTCGGAGGGGAAGAACGTGCTCTGCTCTGATCGCACCTGTACGTATTGACGTGATGACGTCGTCTCCATGGTGCACAAGAAAATAGATTTTTAGCATTTTATGAAACTTGGCCCAGTCGCCATCTTTTCTTCCTAAAAATCTAATGCACAAATGTTATAAAGTTTGATGCCCTCAAACCAAAATAACGATGTTTTCAAATGACTACACTAATTGTTTACACACTCCACTTCGGCCCGTCAATATTATAAATATATAAATAACTATATTATTATACACGGAGAAATAGTTGGGTAAAAGTCTGTTTTATCAAATCTGTGTTTTTCCAACAGGAAAAAGTTACACTGATTTCTGTCCTGATAAAGTTTTATTAAAGTTTTAATGGGATGAATCAGTGAATCAGTCACAAGTCAAATGATAAAATAAATGTAAAGGTTGTCTCAGTCATCGGCAGGTGTCCCTCGTTGAACAGTGGGGCCATTTTCAGCCTGTGCAGCCTTCCACAATGGTTGACTGATCCAAAAGGTTTGTTTCTCCAACGAGATGCGATCCGGTTCTTTCCTTGGTTCAATTCTCCAAGAGAGTTCTCTTTCCACAGTTTGGGTTT